TTACTTACAGAGATGAATGCTGGTTTATCACTTTCCAAAAAGTCTTTTCTGTTAGTGTGCTTGTAGAGCATACTATAATGATCCATTTGTTTTCATATTTCTAGCTGCTGATCAGTCCAGAGTAATGCAGGAGCAGATGACAGGAGCAGCCATGGCCATGCCTGCAGATACTAATAAAGCATTCAAGGTACAATACTTTTATCCAATTGCTTAAATTAATTCTTCAAATCATAGATAGCATTTCCTTGAATGTACAGAGGAAATGCTTTTAAAGAAAGAAAAGCTATAGAGTATGCTAATCTGGAATTCATGTAGGGATGCTTACTAAGTAATTCTCTAGTGTTTTTTAAAGATTTTCTTTCAGGACCCTTTCCCACTTTTAAAAATTATTAACTATCCCAATGTGGCCTTTGTTTGCATAAGTTATATTTATCAATATTTATTGTGTTAAAAATTAAAATTCACACTTTCACTGCTGCTACTAGATCACATGATTATCTCATTTAATTCTAGTATTATTTTTCAACATAGGTTGGCAAATAATTTTGATTTCACAGACCCCTAAGAGAATCCAGGGGTCTTCAGGCTATATGTTGGAAAACACTGCTCTAGACAATAATTACATTAAAAATTCATATTCACAACTAGTATTTTTTAACTATACTGAAGTTCTTTGGAAAAGTATTGGCGTATTGCCAGTGAAAAGACCATTAACACGAACTGCTTATGAATTTAGTATGTATCAGAATATTCAGTTAATTCAGAGCAGCAACCAAGCTCAACAAACTTGATCAGTGCTTTGGAGAGTTTGGGAAGAAACTCACATGACTGAATTTGTTTAAGTTGTGGACACAATGGAAATATGAGGAATTTACTTGGTAATCTACTTCAGTGTTTATTTTTATTGAGAGAAAACAACATCAAAGCCCCTATGAATCTTATTTGGATAAAAGTGATGTGTTATGCAAAACATGGCCATGGTTATAACATGTTAAGCATTGGCACCAACTGTCATATTGGCCAGGAAGATGGCTGGTTAAATGTCCAGACAGTTTTTAAATAAGTTAATCATGGATCTATACCCAACTGCTCAAATGTAGATTCCTAAGACATATTGAACAAGACCTCTTCATAAATTTCAAAAGAGCCAGTGTAGCTATTGGCTGTATTCTACTGATCCTATCAGTGCTCTTTTTTTGCCATTACAGACTGAATGGGAGGCTCTAGAACTGACTGACCATCAGTGGGCACTGGAAGATGTTGAGGAAGAACTCATGGCTAAAGATCTCCGCTTTGAAGGCATGTTTAAGGAAGAATTGCAGACATCCATGTTCTGAGGACCTTCATTTGGTTGACATTAAATCAGTTATGTTTAATATCGGAAGTGTGTTCTTATTGATGACCAGAATTTCTGTGAATTATGTAGCTGCAGGCAAAAAGTCTTGCTTCAAGAGCACCTTCTGAGATTAACAGATGTTTTCTGAGTTATTTTAGAACTCGTACTGATAGTTCTTCATTGATCAAATGTAAACTACTAAACTTGTAGCCCAAGCCAAACTCATTGGAAGAAGAATTTATACATTGTGGATAGCGGAAATGTATTAAGAATTCAATACACTGCTGCTGTATCTGTTAAATGTCACCATTTCCCAAAAGATGGTTTAATGCTGAAGTTCCTTGACAGTTAGGGTTTAACCCCACTACATTTGAGAAACTACCTATCCTTAAAGACTTGAATTTAGGTGGAATTTGGTTATCCAAACATTCAAGTTACTAGAAAGTCACCTTTGCCAATGCCAAGCTGGATGAAGAGTCACGTTTTCCTTTCTAACTTTTCTCCTGTCATCTAGGTAAACACAGTAACTGAATGCTGTTACCAAAATGGAAAGTAAATAAATTTCACTGTAGTGAAAACCACTCACTAGAATAATTTGGATTTTAATTTTAGAATGGAATACTAGTAAAGTATGGATTCGAATCAGATAAATTCCTCTTTATTGAGATGTGTTTTTGATGGATTTTAGTTCTACGGTATAGAAAATGAGCTTTAGGCAGGGGTGAAATTCAGCTGGTTCTATCTGGCTTAGGCGAACTGGTAGCAGTGGCTGCGGGAGACTCCGCCCACCCGTGCGGATGTCATGACATCACTTTTTTGTGATGATTTTAAGCCTCTGTGTTCACTCACGCGCAGCGTGCACACATTTGCAAATCGGTAGGGAAGGTAAGTGAATTTCACCCCTGGCTCTAGGTCTTAAAGTAATCCATCCATAAGGGACAAGCATTTAAAGTTTTAACATGTATATAAAATAAGATTCTTTATTAATTATGTTCATAGCTTTTGGCGTAAAGAGTGTTGTGTGTATAATCAAGACGATACATGATCCTGAGTTCACAAGGCTAAAGCCAGGTTGACTGAATCATTTTCTTTAGGTGCCAGCCAAAAGTTATACGTGACTGTGGCTCAGTTGTCAAACTGTGACACTAAAGTAGCAACGCATTAAAAGACGAGTTAAATTTTTTTTAAACAGTGTGGTGTATGTACAGCATTTCCAATATTTCCTGTTATAATTTTTCAGAATATCATTAGCTTTAATCTACGCTTGATAAGGCTGCAGCCCCATGAATTTCCCAACCAGTGAGACCTTTGCTAAGAGTTGTGAGAATTGATACGCATGCAGTTGTTGAATTATGCTACATCGTGGTTCTGTGCCTCAGCAGAATAACAATAAGAGTTCATTACAGCTGTGAAATGGCAGTGCTATATAGCAAGAAAAGTGAATAAGATCACAGTGTCCCAACAGAAACCTATGGGGATGCATGTTACATTTGATACCTTTCCAATCCTTTTTCTGTCACAAACTAAAAACAGGAATGAGAAGAGGTCTCTTTTCCTTGTTCCTTAACTCTACTCAAGGTTGAGCATCTTAGGGAGGGGGGGTTATGAAGAAAGTGAGGGTTAAGCCTTTCCTCCTCTCAGATTGTTCAGATTGCTGCAAATACTGCTTTCAAACCCTTCAGGTAATATCTTGAAGTTATTGGTTCTGATGAAGGGGGATGGAGACTTGGACATGGCCTATGGACCAGATATTTCCCATTGCTATCTTAGAAAGGAGGAGGTTATATATATGCACTGTGAAACTAGCTATGCCAGTGAAGCCCATAGGAGCATCCCCATACTTTGTTTCTTCTGCTGTAGGCAGGATTTCCCTGTTTTAGATTCACAAGCTTAGTTCTATCTCATATCTCACATATGAAGATAATTTATTCTGTAATTAAGCTGTGGAAATTGCTTTTTTTTTTAACTTGCAGGGCACCCAGCCTCTTATCTAGTTTAGGCTCGTTTAAGTCTATTTTATGCAACCAAATATTTTTTCAGCAGTAATGCAACTTGATTTGTCTCTCAGTGCCATTTCCTCATAAAGAAATAGAAAGTTTGAAAAACATCCAGGAATTCTTTTTTATTGCATGTCTGAGTTGATGAGTACGGTTATTCATCTGTTCCAGATTCAAGCAAATGCCACACTTAAGTTGCACTTCAGTAGTACACATTTTTATATGATATATAAACAAATTCATTCTATGCTAGTGTACTCATATCAAATCATTATATGTCCTTACATCAAATGATTTAAGAAGAACTTGAAGAAAGTGGCATTCTAAAGATTGAATATTTACTGAAAAATAATAAATATATATGTAAGGTAACTAAGGTATAGATAAATATATATAAAATATCCATCTTCCTGGTAATCGTAAAGCAAATCACTGACACGATGGACTCAATTTTACAATCTTTTTTGTGACGGTCATTAAGCAAATGCTGTAATCATAAGCCACCACTCCAGTTATTAAACAAATGTCACAGTCATTAAGTGAACCGCTTGCTCACTATGGGGCGCTTTTGCAAAAAAAATGGAAGTAAACACCAGGTTTCAGCAAAATTGTCATAAATTGTGGTAATCCAAGGATGCTACGAACAGCCATAAATGCAGGGCACCCAAAATGCAGTTATGTAACTGTGTGTGTATGCTTCTGTTAGAAAGGAGTTGTAAATATCTTTGGGGGAGGGGGTCCTGCTGGAACTTTGAACAGTCGTTAAATGACCAGTCATAAATCGAGGATTTACCTGTATTTGCTTTGTATGAAGAGAGACATGTCACAAAAAGTCAATTGCAACAGTTGCCAACAATCGAGCTAAGGTAACAATGTTTCCATTTAAATTATGCTGGTATTTGTATATGCTCCTTACAAAAGTGGACCTTACTTGAATTGTTGAAAATATTTATGCTCTTAACACATGGCCTATTTTTGGTAAAAATAAAATAGATTAAGTCCATTAATACTTTTTATAATCATCTTCATCTGGTAAAGAGCATCTTGATGCCTACTGTTTTCTTCAATGGTCAATAATAGTATTTTACCCCAAAAAAGGCTATGATAATATGTGAAAGCTAAAAACTCACAAAATCTTTAATTTCATTCCAAATAAAAAATTTAGGCAGTTTGGAGGGTGGAGGGGTGTTCTTTTAAACTATACATTTATGATCATGATGAATTGCACATTTTTTTTCTCCTTTCTTTCCTGTCTGACATGAAAGCAGATGTGTGGCTTGCTTCCCCAGAGAAAACCATGGAGTAAATCATCAACTCTAGATGCACAAGATCCTACCATTAATCTTTAGATATAAGAAATAGATTATTTCATTCCACCACCAATCAGTTTTTTTGTTAGTGTTTATCTGTTCTGTGTTTCCTTCTGTGAAATTTATCCCATGATTCAAATCTGTTTTTTCTGGTTTAAAGACGTTTGCCAAGCGTCTGCTGCTTGGCAAAAATTTGCAAATAACCATGACTTAAATCATTATGTCACAAGATGGTTTATATGCAGTATCTTTTTTTGCAATGGAAACTTACCTTGAAGGGCAAAGCAAAAGCAGTAGCATTTGATTGACCTATTGTTCATTATCCTACAGAGAAGAAAAAAGACACTCCCATGCCAATATTGTAAGTTGCTTACTTTAATTGTGCATCTGGTCAGGATTGCTTGCATGGTTTAAAAATGTTACTAACAAATCTTAAAAATAGCTCACACTTTACACCACCTGCCTAGTGAAGCTGGTGCAAGGTGGAGCTGTTTAATCTGTATTCCTCTTCCATATCCAACAAGGTTTCAATGATAGCTTCATCTTCAGGGCTATGCTCTAGGACCTTTCTGAAAGTGTTCCTCTCACCCAGATGGACAGTTGAGGATTCATCTACAGAAAAAAAAAAGTGCATAAAAAGCTGGTAATTTGCTCCAGATCCTTCAAAATATCAGAATGGTGTTTTCTTTGCTCATTCTGAAGAAGCTAAAGAGTTTCAAATTGAATTCCAATTGTCCAAATGTGAGAATGTAATCAAGACAGCAGTTATAAAGCCTCCACTCCAGTTATTAAGTATTTGGTATTCATTTTTTTTCTTAATGATCACAATAACTCTCCTCACATCTATTGTAATAGTGTTTGCTATTTCAAATATGGATGGGATATATTTGGGGGGCTTGCAGGTTTGTGAAAAGCTAATGAACTAGAGCAAGAATGTAATGCACGCATTTATGGAAACGTTCTAAAGGAGGATGCCTTCCCATCACATATTTCTATCTTCCCACATTTAAGGTTGTGCTTTTCAAGCCAATGCAAAATTAGTTGCTATTTTTCAGAGCATGGCTTTAAAAAAAAAATCCTTATCTTGCATTCATTTTATGCTTGATATCCATATTAAAACAATATAAATTGATAAATCTGCAGAAAACTTTATGTGCATATTATTTTTGCTTCTTTAAGCGTGCAGTGCCAATTCCCTTCATAGAACCAATTTAAAAAGAGCTATGGAACAGAGGAAATATTGCTTACCAGCACACGTATCTTCATGATCCTTTGGATTCTCTGGAGGAACATCACAGGAAATTATGTTTGTTTCTGACTTCATGGATCGTTCATCAGTTTTGCTGAACAGCATAAAAACACCTTTTACAGAACCACTAGACCAGGACATTTCCCATTGTAAGAGAAACATTTGAAAACAAGCCAACCAATTTCACAAACTAAAATGAAATTTATCCCAGTATTCAAGTAATAGAGATGTCTCAATTTTCAGTTATGTTATCCAAATTCATTTAGTGTAGCTATTTTTATACATTAACGCATAAGCCCATTGTGCCTAGTAAGGTATAAAGATGTCTCCCCGAGCACTTTCCCAAACTGCCTTTTCAATATCTTCTTAGTTTTATCCTAACATATTTTTATATACAATTTTTTAAAACTGCATCATTATAAAAATAAATGCTTTTGAAAAAAATAAATGCTGCTTAGTTTGAATTTGGTATTGGGAATTCTGTTGATCTCTATTAAAACACAAACCAGGAAACTTTTGCCTCTATTCCTTTACCATAACAAGTACTTGCTTTGTTGTTTTTTTAACATGTGGCTTGCTCTTTGGGTAATGATCATGATGAAGGGAATTAATAAAAATAGAATACCAATGAAATATGCAATAATTTTAAGTTATGTAATGATTGTGCCATTTATTTAGGGGCCTTTTGACATCTTTATCCTTCAGGCTACCACCAACTGCGGTATGATGGGTATGATCAATTCCATCTTGTATGCTATGGATGTCCACTTTTCACGAGAATAAGGAACATTGATTCAAAGGACTGGACATTTTTACCTCCATGGAGCAAGAACACACTCTAGGAAGTTTTGAGCTCAACCCATTCACTTAAGGATGTCTTGCAAAGGCTACCTTCTTAAAATAGCATCTTAGTGATTGAGATTTCATCTGGAAACTGATACAAGTTCATCCTGTTTCAGTTTGCATTGAATAAAAATGTATTTGCCTGCTGGTAGGAGACCAATATAGAGTTTAATCATTTTCTATTGGTAATATATTCCAGAGTTGATGAGCTGAGTGAGATAGCAAATTTTGACCAGCAAATTAGGTTATGGTATACATATCCTATGATTTTGCTTTGCACTGTTTTTTACCATTTGATCTTGGACACCAAAATGCCCAGAGTCAGTTCTAGCATGTATCTTGTTCTTGATTAGCAGGAGCCAAAGTAATCAAAACAAATTCAGATGCTGCTCATATCATCACAAATCAAGCCTGTGATGGCAAAGCATACCTTACTTGTCCTTTCTTCCATCTTTCACTGTCTTGTAGGCTGATAAAATACTGTTTATCAGCCATAAAGATTGGGGCGTGCAACCATGTATTTTCCTTGCTCATCAATGGTTCCCGTTTGGTACATGTAATAGTCGAGGTTACCGTCACTGGAAAGAGATTTGACCTAAGGAGGGGATTCTCTTTTTCAGGAGAAGAGACTGCTGAAGATGGCTGGGGGCAATACACAGTAGGAGATAGTACCTCTCCCTTAGAATTAAAGATATCTACATTAGGGGGTGCAGAAAGTTGCACTATTGGCAAATCAGAGTCCTGGTTGTTGCTGGTATCTTGGGAAGGAAGGAAAGGAATGGAGAGATCTTCCATTGCTCGATCAATAGCTGCTGCTAGCTCCTTACGGCACCTACTTAACTTTTCAGACATCTCACCTGAAAGGGAAAAATAGCGAATTGTCCAGAAGTCTGATTGCTTATAAAAAGTTGTAATTGTTGCAAACTTAATATTCCTCTGCCAGTACCCTCCTAAAACTTGTAGACCAGTACTCCTTTGGTTGGTCATTCATCTCTAAATATAAAATTGGGAGGATTTACACCTCACACTAAGCCATGGCTTTCAACATAATAGTAAACCAAAGCATTTTGTTAATGAGGATATGATGTTATTTTAGCCTAAATGCACACTGTATTTGGACATGGCATAGAGACCATTTAGGGTTTGTGCAAGCCCCACTTTATAACATATAGGCTGTGAAAATCGCAAAAAATGATTTATAAAATAGCAATTTGGGGAGCAGATAACTTACAAACCTTAATTAAATAGAGGCAGTGCATTATTAACCACATTTTTTGGCTTAATTCTTATCTGATCATAGCCATACCACATTCATGTTGGTACAGTTATTTAGCAATGTCTGAACCAGGTCACTTTGATCTCTCCCACTCTTCCGCAATATTTGGAGGACACCCATCTCCCCCATGGAGTGATTTGCTGAACTATGACTAAGTGTGATACATGAGTGCATATCTTTACAACAGATCTACTTCTGAATATAGCATAAACACACAGAGAGATAAATGTTAGTTTTCTCTAGGTCTCCCAAAAATACTTCTGGAAGTAAATTCAGAAGATAAAACTTTGATCAAGAAATCATGGCTTCATATCTTCTCCCAGGCACTAAACCCCTTGAGACATCCTGACTCAATCATTACATATCATAAGGAGAAAGGAAAAAAGAATAATAAACAACCCTCTCAACTTTGATTGATCACAATTGCTGTAAAATGATGCATCTAAGCTTTGTGAATATTTTAAGTTTTTTTATGTACTCATCTGCAACTTATCTTAATATTGTGTTACTTCAACAATTTTATGCCCCAAATTCTCTTTTAAGGTTTTTTTTTCTATATTTATATACAATCTTTCCTGAAGTTTTGCTTTCTCTAGAAATCCCATAATCTGTTCATAAGATACAAATAATTAAGCAACCTGCTTGTGACGATATCATCAAAATGTGAGGGATGCCTAATCTATATTAAGGGTATAAGCCAGAGCCCCTTGTAATCCAAGTTTGGGATCCACCAGACCTGTTTATCAAGGCTTCCCAATTGCAAGGCAAGTACAAGATAAAAGAGCAATTGCACAAATCCTTTTGTTTAGCAAGAAAGTCATAGGCTGAATTGAAAGCTCCCCAGCTAAGAGCTTGGTGCCCCTCCTCTCCCTGTGGAAGGTTTCAACTGTCACGGAACCTTTGTTTCTACTAGAACTTTCCTCCAAGATGGGACTTACTGCTTTCCAATGACAATTTATTATTAATAAATTAATATTATTACATATTTAGTTAATAAAGGAAATTGTTTTCTTATTTGAATCTGATAAACTTAATCAGGACTGATCTGGATGAATATTAAAAAGAAATATTGTCTTTATTGTTTGTCCCAGTGCTTCAAAAATTACTGCATATAACTCAACATTGTAAGTCTATTTCAGACAATTGTTATTATTAGTCATGTTTTGTCCATAAATGGCCTGTTAGATGACGGTCTTAAAACTGTAAAAGGATTGACAAATCTTCCTAGGAAGTGAGATAAGTAGATTTAAGTCAATCCAAATTCTTAGTAAGATTAATTTCCAAGAAATAGAGCATGAAAATCAAAGGCTAAGAAACGGTGTATGAATTTACAATTCTAGCTTTAGAAATTACTGGGGAATGAATATACACATAGCACCTAGACTACCACTATATTCCAAATTAAAGGAAAAAGGTTGTTGTACCTTTGATATTGTTTGATAGAGGCATTACTATTCAATCAGGTAATGAGTCAGATCCTAGGATATATTAGAAACCCTCATTCTCCACACAGAAATACCAAAGAGTACATACTTTGTGCAATCCGTTCCTCTTTATTTTATTCTTTATCTTTACACAGTAAAACAATCCAGTGCTAGTCTAAAAGTGATCTCGATACTATACAATATGTACACATCAGCTAGGATTAAGCCTGGTCAGAGGCAAATCAAGATTCCTAATACCATTTGTACAGCATTTAGAAGAAACTTACTTCAATGTACTTACTCTCTGATCATACTTAAAAACAATGAAGATTTTTACTTCAGTATGCAACAGAAATATATAAGGTTATATTTAATTATAAATCGCTTTTTGCATTTAAATATTTATTTCATTCTCTCTCCAAATGTTACATTTAAAAGAAATTATAACCCAGAAAAAACAGAAAGCAAAACCATAAAATGTAATTTGACATTAGCATTTAAATAATTCTAGCCCCTTTTGTCTGCCCCATATGTGCAAGAAAAAATATGCAGTTGAAATAAAACCTCAAACCAATTTAAAAATCTGTAAGCACAGACAACTCAACCAAATAATAATTTCAGTGCTTTAGAAGAATCACCTGCAAATCTATATAGTAATCATTGGAAGATTGAATGTGAACAGAATAAAGCTTGACAGCAATGATTCTTCCTCTGCTAAAATCTACTGTTCACATCTAATAAATTCTGCTAAAATAATGTTGAATCACTGGTGACTATAGCTTGTGGAACTGCAAAGAAAAGTCTATGTAAAAATTATTTGCGAAAGAAATGATTCTCAGAGTGTTGAATGAATTCTTGGAACATATTGTCAACAGCAAAAGGAAACAATTTCATGAGGTATTAATATGATTTCAAAGCCATTTCCATTAATAACAAATCTCTTCATTACAATGTGGCATTCCAGAGGATTACTGAAAACTCTTAGTTTATATAGATAAGCTACTACCAAAGTACATTAGGGCTTAGTGAAAAGGATGTGGATTAAAAAGAGAACAGCAAGACTATTTTTCTTTGGTAACTTTTAGTTGATGTGGAAATGACTAAACAGATGGGAAATTATCTAAATAAATAGGAATAAAATGTCAGGAAAGAAAACGAATGGGTTGAAACACATCCAAAGTAATTGGATATTTTGTGTGGCCTTTGCAAGAGAAAGGGATTGAGACCTTTATATGGTGCTGATAAAACATTGCATAAATGTGGAGAAAAAGTGTCAAAGGAACATAAAGCATTGCTATCAGATGAATATGAAGAATAGGGTTTCTGAATATTGCTACAGGAAAGGGATTTTATCTGTATGTTACTTCTATAGGATTGTTTTACCGGCATTGAGCCTGAAAACATGGAAACTATTTTTGAAATACTTCTTAAGGTAATTTTTGGATGGGAGACTTTGGGCCAGGAGAAATACTTCCTCAAAAAAGCAGTCTGATCGTGACAAGTGCAAAAGGGATTGACATAATGTTGTGGTAATATGTGCTAACCAAGACTGAAGCTGATGTTTATATGTTGCACTTCTGCAGCACTCAGGTATCTCCCAGATGGTACACTTTTCACAATGCATGAAACTAAATACATTTCTTTCACTGAAACCCAATTTGAGGTTGCAAAACAACACAGCCATCTTTTTCTTAACATGCATCGCTCCAGTCATATAGCAACTCTTAATCCCACACAATCTTCATAATACAAAGTCAGATTTCGGCATCATTTTATTGAACAGTTAAGATAGAATTTGATTAAAAACTCTTAGGTTAAAGAGTATGCCCAGGTTTGTCATCTTATTGTTTCCTCTATCTATTTTTCAGTGCTGAGGGCTCCTGTGTTGTCAAGTAGCCACTGCAGGGGTTCAAAACAAGTCCTCAAATATATTTTCATATTGGAGATTAACCACAGAAATTCAGTTAGTATCCATGCCATCACATTCTTCAGATTCTGGTTCCATGCTTGGGCAAAAAGAATGGCTCCCCTTGAGCTTCACATCTCTGCGTTGGTAAAACAGTACATATGCTGCCTTTGTCTGGAAGAAAATGATTGAAAAATATTTTTTTAAAAAATCAATACCTAACAGAAAAATTGTAATTAAGCTAGCCTATAAAGCCCCAGAACTCAGATCTCTGAAATATTCACAATCTAGATAGAAGTCTTGACATATTTTTTGGAAACCTCCTCTAATGAATTGAGGCTACCTCCCACAGGACCAAAGTCCTTAGAATCAGAAGGACCAAGGATGCATTGATAATCTTGCTAAGGTTGAGTTTGATTCTGTTGCTTCCATTCAGGAATGGAAGGGCCTGATGGCTCAGCAGACTAAAAGCATTGTGATTAACACCAGCTGTCTGCAATTACTGTAAGTTCAAATCTCATCAGCCTCAAGGTTGACTCAGCTTTCCATCCTTTCTAAGGTAGGTAAAATGAGGACCCAGTTTGTGGGGGCAATAAGCTGACTTTGTATAAATATACAAAAGTATGAAGGCTATTGCTTAACGCATTGTAAGCCGCCCTGCGTCTCCGGAGAAGGGCGGCATATAAATCAAATAAAAAAAAAAAATCTCCCTATTGCAAGCCTCCTCCTTCAAGGTGAGTGCCATCCCAACCAGTTACTATAGCTGACAGAGGACCCTTCTGAACAAACAATAACCTTTCTTCCTATGGTTCAACATCAGCCAAATCACAACAGCCTCCTGCTATCACTGACTAAATAATAATCGACTCGCTGTAACACTCTGCCTTCATCTCCCAAATTTTGCAGGGAGTTTAGAATTGTAATTGTTGATGGTACTGACTGCTGAATGCTGTTGAGAGGTCAGATAAGACCAGAAAAAGTACACTTTTCAAATCCAAGTCACAATAAAGGTAATTTAATGGAACAACAAATTATATTTCCATCCTATTATTGGACTGAATTCAGAAAGAAAAAGGTCTAGGCAATCTATTTCCTCTAGGGTTCCCCTTAGCGGACTCTTCATTTCTTAACAATCTTCTCCCCAAAAAGGAAGATCAATATTGAAGATTTTGTAGTAGTTGACTAAAACAGCTGTGTAGACTTGTTAGCATCAACAGCCCCAAAGAAATGCTGACCATTCCCAGATCCAGCCTATTAAAGATCCTCTGACCACCTGAAGAAGCAAGAAGGGGCATGTCACAATCAAGAAAATAGTGGAGTCATGCATCCTATCACTTAATCAGTTTACAGGTTGAGAGGTTAGTCTGTGGAATTGCAGTTTACCTCCTGTTCCTATTGGGTTTTAGGTGAATTCTCTTTTCTGTAGAAAATAATTTGTAGTGCCATTTTAACTTGCTACTCTGATTTAACAGCTGCATTTGTTAAATTCCAGAAGTTACCAGGAAAGGTTTGATTTATTTGAAATACTTACCACTATTTGTTCTTCAGAAGCTGGAGATACATTGCTATCATCGAAGTAGTACCATTTTCCATTGATTTTATTCTTAGCATATGCAGTATCTGACAGATAAACAAATACAAGAGAAAAATATAATGACATGCTTTAAAAATGCAAGCACAGATAGTCTCTAACACTGTGAAAAAAGTGTAAAGGAATTCCTTCCCTTTTACTACAGTTGGCAACCATGAATAAATAATTATATAAGAAAACCCACTCAGCACTTTAAAGAATCACTGGTGAGGTAAAAGGAAGCTTTACACTTTGATTTTTAAAAATATTACACAATCATTATATGCTTAATTAATAGATTAAGTTAAACAAATTTAGTAACAACCTGCAAACTGCCTAGATGCACTGAACACTTTTTCATGGGACTTTTATCAGTGTTATTAAACTCATGAAAACTGCTTAAACTGATTTAAATATCTGAAGATATAAAAATATTGTTATATTTTTATATTCAAATATTGTTATATTTGAAGATATATAACAAACAGCAGCTTCAGAAAAGGGGAACTTTATGATACAAAAAAATCCTCACCAAATCCCAGTTATCTGTTTAACAGACATTAACTAGAGCATTTTAACTGAGGTTGGAATTTTTTTTCTTGTCTACAAAGTTGACAATTCAGTGTTCTTGTTGCATCGCTTCTATTAGCTTTGCAGGGCAGGTCTCAATGAACCAAACCCAGAAGCCTGCAATGGGTTATCTTAAATTTCAAAGATCCTTACTTTAATCTTGGATATTGCTGAGGAGACATATTTTGAACTTTTGCAGATATTGGGGGGGGGGGGGGGGAAGGGAGGGAAGGGAAGCAAGAATTACTCACAGTGCCCTACACCCAAGCCTCCATAGTGATTGGAAACTGCAATTAAGTCATATACATATGGGCTTGCTGCTGGATCACAAACAAACTCAGACATGTTCAAATCCCTATAAAGAAGTCACAAAGATTAATGTTGTGGCAAAAAACCATGCTAATACCTTAAAGACAATCTATTTCCAAAACCAGTTTTAAAATTATTCATCCTGTTATTCAACTGCTATTACCAGCAAGAGTCACAATATTGCTGATTATCCACAATGTTCCTGAATAATTCTGTGATACATTTACACAGACACTACTGGTTCACTGAAGAAATATTTTAATATAATCATCATTTTACTGTAATCTCTGCAAATGTATTTTATTTTATTTTTTGCTACAAACGCATGAGCAACAATGGCAGGCTCTCTGGAATAGTCACTTGAAAATTTTTAACAGGGCTGGGAAAGAGATATTTATACTAAGAATTTATTCTGTATTGTTACAAATAGTTACAGACAAAAGTCATGTAGACATTGTGTGTAATTAGAATTCTTCCAAGTAAGGTCAAGATTGAGAAGAAGCAAATTCTCACTGAGATTCAAAGAAATGCTCTTAGACCTAGTATAATCATTCCAAAATACTTTCCCACAAAAATATAGATACATTACACGAAATTATAATGTGACCACAGACATGATTATTATGTGTGTTATCACGTTTTTAAAAAATATGTATAATTAACCTGATACAGAGAAAAAATGAATTTCTGTTTCCAAGTATATTGACCAAGAGAAACATTTAATTTTTCATTTAACTTACTGTGACCATATTAGGAAAAACATTTTATTTAATTTGTTAAATTATATTCCAAAGGTATAAATTACTCAATTACCAGAGAATAATATGACTAGAGGAAAGTAACATTTTGCCGAATAAAATATACATTTAGATGTGGTTCCAAAATACAGCCAAGATGTGCTCAGGTTAAAGATCTTTATTACAAGAATATGTGGACACTAATCATGAGATTCAACCCTAAACTGTTGGACTAGTGAGTTGCCAATCTCAGAGTAATGTAAAACAAAATTACCACAAATCTCAAAATCCAAACCAAAATAGCTAAAAGTGACAGAAAGTAGAGCTATACAAAATTTCAGAGTAGAGGAACAAAGCAAGAAAAGCAAAGGCATTCAGGAAGATGCTGGCATCAAAATCAGCAATAGGGTACTGTAATTATTTAAGTTGTGACAAGATTACTTGGACCATGTATTCATAAGGATATCAGGTCTGACCATACCAATATACTAACATTTATGAAAATTTTACCTGATAGGGAAGTCAACTACCGTGTCAAGTTTATCTCTCCAATATCGATTGTATGAAAAGCGTTTTAAATGCACTACCAAAATGCGTGGCAATGACCAAAGATCAAATTTCTTAGTGGCTTGCTGATGTTTCTTGCAATTAGGACAATACCTGAAACAAATCAAATAGAAATTAAAACAAAAACAAAAGCGTTTGTTGCAGATATTAATTCACTTTATTGGAAGGGAATTAATACTTGTTTAATGGGACTTACAATTCCATAGTTCTGGAAAGATATAGCAAGCTCAAGTAAACCAGATAAATCTTTTGTGATCAGATTTTAGTCCACCGTTTTTCTCTATACCAGCAGTGTCAAACTTGCGGTCTGTGGGTCAGATGCGTCACGTGCTAGCCACACCCATACCCAGTTTAGCAAAGGGAGGGGGGGAAGTCTCAATACATCATGTGATGACATGAGTTTGACAACCCTGTTCTATACCTTACAGGAAGAAAACCTATTGGATTGCTTTGGACTGGATTTATTTTTAAGATACACAAAAGATCCAGGATCTTATATGTTGCATGGTTGCCTAATCATTTCAAGGAATACTACAGAAAGAATAATCTGTGGATAAAGGGTCCTGAACTGCTGTGAGAATGCAGAATACTTTGAGCAAAGGAAAAGAAATGCATAAGATACACCACTATTCAGTGCATTTTCAAAAATCATTTTTAAGGGGAAAAGTAATACTAATTAATCTTCATTCTGATTAGTTCTTGTCTTCTCACTAGTTCCCCAAATCCCATTTAAATTGGAAATAGCATCAGAATCTACATTTACCAGAAAAATGTAATAAGGACTTTATCCTCAAAACCAACATATATTGGCCTTGTTTTCAATAATTAATCTTATCTTGTCTGTACTTTTGCTGTTACTGATTTTATCATGGTTTTACTGAACCCTTTAAAAAATATGACAAATGTTTTTATATTACATTAAAAATTATGTTAATTATCAGTGGAGATTGCACTGTCTTGCATTGTGAAGCTGTCTAGAACAAGTGCTTCTTAATACATATTTGTAATATGTCTCAAATATAATATCACAAATGCAAGGCTGTGGTGCCATGCAGTTTTCCTGCTGCATTTTTTATTTTATTTTATATAGATTCCCAGAGACATTCTTAAAAAAATGAAGTGGCCATAGCTGAATGGTTTGTTTGAAGATATGCTATCCTGCCCAGAAAAAAAAAGTTAATAAAGAAGATTTTGAGAAGCTAAAAAGAGTAGGGAGCAACTCCACCAGTTCACCTCCTGGTACATCAACATAAACCATTTGAGAATGCCTCTGACATGTTCTTGAAATTACAATAAAAAGGTTGGGGATCCTTGATCTACAAAGCAGATAGTAATGGCAGAGATTTATCTAAGAAAATAAGTCTGCTAGATCTACCACAAATAAGAAGGGGAATAGGGATCACGTAATAGCCTCTTTATCAGATGGAATAATATGTGGTTGAGGAAACCCTACTATCCTGCAGCAATAATGAAAGATAATCTTAACATACATGATCAACTGTCTTATTTTTGCAGTGCCAACAGAGCAATTCTCACAAGTATGTGCATATGGATACTTTCAAATATTTATTAAACAATGAGGAGTGGTCACACGTGATCCTGGTTGTCTGCTTTCTGAACTAGGGAGCTCCATTTGTAAGGAAGAATGGTATATCAACATGCAACAGCAACATGCAAAGATAATATTCAAGCACAAGCTATGAAATGCAGTCCAAACAATAGTCAGTAGCAAAAACATACCAGGGATCATGTTCCCCAAGCGTCTCCATAGTTGTAAAAAGTTGTATACATTCTGTAAGGGCTACAGAAGTTTTCTTTTTTTGTGACTGAAACATACTGTTGTGTTTTTCAAATGCCTAAAAACACAAATGTATATTAAAATGGAGAAAATCAGACATTTCTAAAAAAAAAAATAGCCAGGGATACACATTATGGTCACAGCTTGCTTTCTGCCCTTCCCCCTTTAGTCTGTGCTGGCTTTTCTCCACTTCACACATACAAAAGCTACTGCATCATGGTATGTTGTAGCGACAACAAATGTAAATAAATGCATACAAGCAGTTTTCATTTAGCAACTGCCTTAGATAGCAACCATTCACTAATATAACTAATAACTGGCAGTAAAGAAAAATCCAGTGCGCACTCTTAAACCTGAATTTCTGTTCCTGACAATAACGGATGCCAGAAAGTAGCACTGGGCTTGCTACATGAGAGAAATTTATCTAAACGTAATGGCAGCCACCAGCAATCTTGGCAGCATCATACGGTTCACTTATTGACCGTATCTTACTGTCCGTGTGACTTAGCCACCTTTTCCCTGGAACCAATTACTGTTGCTTATCAACTTATGACAATTGGGAATGGAATTCCCATTGTTAAGTGGTATAGTCATAAAGGCAGAAATCACATGGCCAAATTTAGTTTTAAAATCATTTTTACTACAATTGTTAAGTGGATCACCATAGTTAGGCAAAAAATATTGGGGAAGGCAGATTTGCTTATCAGAAAGGTCACAGGTCACAATCAGATGATGGCAAGACACTGAAGCCATCATAAATGTGAGCTGGTTGCCAAGCACCTGGATTGTGATCATGTGACCATGGGGGTAGTTAACTTGGTTAGCCTAGAGTCATTTCGTAGAGTGAGATGGATGGAATATAAATTTAATAAATAAACTTCAAGAGCAGATTGTAAGTCACCTTTCTTCAAGGCTCTCGTATCTTTGAATTGATAAACAATCGTACGTTGAGGACTATCTATATCAGGGATCCTCAAACTTTTTAAACAGGGGGCCAATTCATGGTCCCTCAGACTGTTGGGGGGGCGGACCAGCTGGGTGGGCATGGCTAGATGGTCATGTGATTGGGTGGGTGTGGCCAATTTATTTATTGATATGGATTTCTATGTTTTACATCTATAGTTTTATATAGTTTTATCTCACTGTTGTGTGCCACCCAGAGTCACCTTTTGGTGAACTGCTCTCATCAGGATCTAAGGCAAAAATATTCAGAAGGACCCAAAAGCTAATGCAGCTTCTATAAAAGCATTTGCAGGACTGAAATATTCATATAAAAACCTGGGCGAGATTGCATCATTGCAGATATTCAAATACCTGGGAAGGGAGTGGAGATAAAACCTCCCGCAGCAAAGCCCATAAAAATCCTGATCTTGAGGGAGACATAGACTGGATCACTTTATTTCAGAAGGAGTTTAGTGGCATCTTTTATTTTATTAAAAGCCGAAAGGCTTTGTGATTAGCACAGTCCTCATATAAACCCCTTCCTCATAATATGAACTCACTGGTTCTGAAACAGGAAGCAAATCTGTTCGTTCTTTAAAGACTTGAAGAGAAAGATTCCATTGTTTCTTATTGTCCCTTCTCCTGGCTCAGGGGTCTGCAACCTTAAACACTCCCTCTCATCTCTCTTTCTTTCATCTTTTGTCTCCCTCTCCCTCCTTCCCATCTCTTTCTCCCTCCCTCTCTCTCTTTCTCTTTTTCTCTCTCCCTCTCTCTCTCTCCCCCTCCCTCTCCCCATCTTTCTCTCTCTCTCTTTCTTTCTCCCGCGTGTCTCTGTCTCTGTGTGCGCACGCGTGTGCGTGTCACTCTCTCTCACTCCCTGTCTCTGTGTCTCTTCTTACTCTCCAAGAAAGCCCTGTGTGATTTCCTTGGGGCTTTTCGCTACCATTTTTCTTTCTTCCTTTTGGAAATCCGGGCTTGCTGAGGAATGAACGGCAGAGGCTTCCCTCCTCCCCCTCCTCCTCTCACAACCCCCTGCCCGGCTGTGATGAGGCCGGGAGGGTGCGCACGAGGAGAAGGAGGAGGATGGAAGCCTCTGCCGCTTATTCCTCAGCAATCCCAGATTTCCAAAAGGAAGAAAGAAAAACAAGTAGCGAAAAGCCCCTAGGAAAGCATGCAGGGCTTTCCGAGTGAGAAGACACAGAGACAGGAAGTGAGAGAACGAATCTGTCTCTCCCCTCCCTATCTCTGCTGTGCAAGGCACTGCGAGAGCAGCGGGCAGGCATGGAGGGGGTATTGGGTCTTCCCCCCACCCCACGCCAAAGGAAAGCCAGCCAGGATTCTCCTTCCCTCCTACCCTTCCCCCTTCTCCCTTCCACCCACTCAATCCTACTTTGGGACAAAGGAGCGCACGCTGGAAATGCGTGTTGGGCAACTGAAGATAAGGGCAACCCTGAGAAGGGTGGGGCGGGACGGGGCTTAATCACCACTGCATGCGAGCCGGATAGATTGCATTGGCGGGCCGCATTCGTCCCACAGGCCGTAGTTTGGGGATGCCTGATCTATATTAAAATCTTCATTTCTCACTTAAAATAATTTTGATTAGTAACCATGAGCAGGCATTTATATTGTAAGATTCCAATCTTCAATCAGCACGTTTATAGGAATAAAGAAGGCATATAAAAATAGGTTATCTGGTCAGAGAAGGAAACACTAATAAAACTCATATGATAATTGAGGATTGCAAGAAAATTACCATGCTGACTGTGGTAAGACAGAGACTTTCAATGCCTGCTTTAAAAAAGGAGCAATCTCAATCACAATGGCAAAATATTTTTTTTTTGGGGGGGGATCCAATTACAAAATGTTCACTAAGCATACAGTACTCAGTAAAATATGATCAGATGCATGAAGCCATTCTCAATAAGCCTATCTATTCTGCAAAGCAATATTTTATGATCATATTTATTTACAGAGCCTTTTAAGAAACATATCAAATCGGAACAACATAATCTTGCCTAGATTTTTTATAACAGGGATTAGTTCTGCCTCTTAAAAGGGAGACAAAAAGATTAATCACCTGAGCTTCGTGTTCATCAAAAAGCAGCTTCCGGGTGTCGGAATCCCAATCAATAGCAACAGTTGCATAGGCTGGAAAAAGGAAAAAAAAATCAATAGCTATTCATAAAGTTACCACAAATGAAAACTGCCTATAGTGAAATTTAAAAAAGATACGTACAACTCAGTTTGAGGATCTTCCCTTCTGTGGTAAGGCAGTTTACTTCTGATGTCCCATAAGAATTCACAAAACTGAAACTGAACAGCTGTTTTTTCTGGTGCTGCTTCCCTTCCACCTGCTCACCCCTCTCTTCAGACTGAGAAGCACCTGCATCTGGTCTTTTTTGTTTGTTTTCTTCGCTATCCTGATGCTCCATCTCTTCAACATCACCTAGAATAAATATATTGCAAAGAGTGTTTTCTACTGTATTTCAGATTTGCAAGTTCCCTTCTAAACTGAGAAGCAATTGATTCAAAATTACAAAAAAAGTAGGTGATTATATTGGAGAGAGTTTGGACTAAATTTGACGTGGTTTCAAGTATTTTAAAGATCAGCCAGACTTAAGTTTGTGATTTAACAAAAAAGAAAAACATGCAAACATATATTTAGATTTTAGTCTAAATTTGGAGAATTTACCTTCAGATATATTGGTGAAGCCATTGCAAGTATCACTGTCCAGAGACACGTCACAATAGTCTTCTTTTAAATTAATTTTTACATAGCGTCTGAAAAATAATAGTTGGTCCATTATTGGGAAATCAGGCAAACCAATAAGCAAAAATAATTAGTTCCAAAACTGATAGCAATGACTATTTATTACTCATTCTGACCACTATCATTTAAATATATTAATATTAAATATTCATTGGTTAATATTGCTTTAAAGGAGGAATGGAAGTTTTATGGACAGGATTAGAACTGCAAGCAATAGTATAGCACAGTAAAACATAGTATAATAACCGATGTATATTATAACTTCACAATAGCTCATATTAAAATTGAAATAACACTTTTAAATCCGTTTGAAAATTGGGAAGCTATATTAATACAAAACTACCTAAACTGCATCAAGAAATATGAAGAATGAGTCATCACATATTCTATTGGTTTGTGTTAAGTTTTTTCAAAAGAAAGAACTTTTTCACTTCTTTTAACTATCAAATAGGCAGTGTGCAGTATAGAAATAATTGTACTTCTGTAATTTACTGCAGTCCGAAGTCAAGTCAGCACGTGACTGGACTCGATTCTACAATTGTTTTTATGGCATTTGTTAAATAAATCACATGGTCATAAATTGTAATTCAACTTAACCAATAGGTGTTTTTTTTGCCAGAAAATGGCAAAAGGTGCCACAAAACATGATGTGATTGTGGGATGCTGCAACCGATCATAAATGTGAGCGAGTTGCCCAGCAGCTGAAATTGATCATGTGACCATGGGGATGGTGCAGCAGTCATATCTTCAAGGATGGGTCTTTTTTTCAAATCCATTGTAACTTTGAATGGTTGTTAAGTGCACTGTCATAAATTGAGGACTACTTATAATGCAGAATACTTCAATGAATGTTTATAACCATATGAATAGTATGCTAAGATGGGACTTACACTTACCCAATTCGCTCCAATATAACATTGTACAAATACTCTATTGTGAGCTTGTGTTTGGGTACAGCTATGAGTAGCGGTTGGCCATAAAGAACTGTCCCTGGGGTAACACTGGATTGTCTTGCTTTCTTTTCTCTGAAGTAAACTGAGAGTGTGACACATTCAGCACTATCTTCAGTTGGTTTACAAACTTCATATCTGCAAGAAGAAAGAGAAGATCAAGAGCTATTTACTATCATTCCAAGTAGAAGAACATATATTTAATTCATATGAAGCAGATTCCAACAGAAAATCAGAAAAATATTTCTTAACTGTAGGAACAATTCAACAGTGTCATTCAGAAAAGTGCTATGTTGCTCTTTATTAAGATATATTCATGCATAAACTAGATAGAACTTATTATGAACAGATGATTTCCTTCTGATCCCCTTGACTTACTACTGTCCCTTTTTCAAATTATTATTATTAGATTTTTATCCTGTTTTTTTCAAATGAAAGAACTACGAACTTGTTCCTTCTAGGAAAGAGGAATGTATTGTTGCTAATCAAATATATTCCTCCTTTTTTGAGGGATCAAAGAATTGCATTTGGAGTAGCCCATCCAAGAACCTAGATGCCATTTTAGTGGTACCTGACATTTGTCTAAAATGGTTCATTTCATTCCCTCACCACTTCTTTTTTGAAAAGTTTTTTTTTTTTTAAACATAAAATACATCTTTTTAGAGCAAGGATTTGATCCGGTATAAAGTAAATACAATTACTCACATTCCCCCAACCAATTTTGTTCCAAATTTTATCCATTTACCTCTTTAAAAAAAAAAGAAAAAAAGAAAAAAAATCTTATTCTAAACATTTAGATTTTAAACATTCTACTATGTCACCCTAATTTCTAAACAATTATTTCCAAACAGACATCATTCCAAATCTTTGTCATTTTAACAATTAATATTTCATATATATTCCTCATTTCTAAGACCCATTACATCGAGTCTATATTGTACCTCTTTTAAATGGCAACTAGTATCCATAATCTTGACAAAGAATATTTTCCTCCTCTCTTAATTGTTCTAAATCAATCAACATTTCCATCTAAAATTTGTCACTCTCAAAATACTTTATTTTAAAGTCTACTATTTAACTGATTCATAGTTTAAATAGCTATTTCCCAACAGTGTTTTCCGCCACTTCTGTCTCTATTTATTTAACTGGTTCACAGTTTGGCTTAACTATTCTCCAGTATTGTCTCCTCCACTTCCTCCTGAGTTTATTTTTTGGCTGGTTCGCATCTTAATCAGTTGCTTTCCAGCGATGCTTTCCTCCACTCCTAATCTTACTTATTTGAGCTGATTCACAGTATAATTTTAACTGCATACCAACGTTATCTCCTTCAGTCCTCCTAAATCTATTATGAAACTGGTTCGCAACTCAAATAGTTGCTTCCCAGCAATGCTTTCCTCCGCTCCAACCTCTATTTTTAACTGGTTCACAACTGTATTTCAGTTGCTCTCCAGGTATATTTTCCTCCACTCCTAACTTTTTATTTTTTGGCTAGTTCACAGTTTTGCTTTAACTGTTACCTAGAGTATGCTTTCCTCCACTCCTAACTCTAATGGCTGGTTCACAGCTTTACTTTGGCTATTTTCCAGCCCGTGCTTTCCTCCACTCCTAACTCTTATTCCTAGTTTTGCCTTAACTGTTCTCCAGTATGATGCTTTCCTCCACTCCTACCTTATTTGTAAGACTAGATCACAGATTTACTTTCACTGTTCTCCAGAATCATGCTTCTCTCCACTCCTAACTTTATTTGTTTAACTAATTCATAACATTTTATTTTAATTATTGTCCAGCTTTATGTTTTCCTCCATTTCTACATCTCTTATTCAATTATTTAACTTTAAATTAATTCACAATATATTACTCGTATTCATTTTTAAATCCATTCTCCTCCATATCTTTAACTGATTTAAAATAAAAAATTATATCGACAAATATCTTAGCTCCTATTCTCTCCTAGGCTTTCTCCCGTGCCATATTTATTTTCAGCAAACATCAACATTTTAAATCACTTTAAAATCAATTTTCTATAATTATTAAATCTGTAATTAATTCTTCTTAATATCCAGCACCTTAGAGAACATCTTCTTCTAAATTATTAGGTCTGTAAATAGAGCTTAAAAATTCCAAGTTTAAAAAGGTATTGAAACATCCAAAAATCATAATTTTCAATCATTTACACTCATTTTTTTCTGTCAAATTGTTGTATATTCATAAAATCAACTTAGATAAAAATAATAGTGAAAAAAGAGAGAGAATAGTAACAATATTAATAATAGTTAAAATAAAAACAAAAGAAAAAAAACAAGAATAAAAATAGGAAAGAGAATAGAAATATAACAAAAGAAATTGAAAAGAGAATTAGAAAAAATAGAGAGGGGAAAAGGGACAAAAGAAAGAAAGAAAGAAGTAAGAAAAATAAAATAAAATAAAATTGAGAGAGAGCTCAGAGAAGAAGGTATCTCCTAAAATTATTCAAAGATCAAACTCCCAGACACCATTACATCCATTTAATTCAAACTATGGTATTTTGTTATCTTGTTATTTTCAATTCCATTTTTTTTCCTTCTCCAATCTATCTGAGTATATTTATTTTCCATTTCAATGTCCTCGAAGTTATAAATTCTATAAAGTTAATTCTGAATTGACTATTCCATATATGGTATCATCATGTTCTTCTTTTGTTGCCACGCCCTTTTTCTCTTGTTGTCACGCTTAATAAATCAGTTTTCATTATTCCATTTAGTTTCTTCTTTCTGATCTTCAATATCCTCCAATACACAGATTATATGTCCAATTATATGTCCAAAGTCAACCTGTCGAGATCCCCTCGCCACTCAGCATGATGGTGGCAACCGCGGATCCTGGCGCTATGAACATGAAGTTGGCCCCAGCGCTATACCCACCTGGATCAGCGGAAGGGGCGTTGGGCGGGGTGGTCATTTGCACAGGTGGTGGTAGGTGTTTAGCATAATTAGTAGGCGGCCGGTCACACTGCGGTCGGAGCTAGGGTTTTGCTTAACTGCCCTTCCTCTGCTTTGCTGCATTTGCTGACTCATGCAGGGGCTGGATTGCGCTGTCCGGAAGGGCGTGTGAGCCGCCGTAATTATTGGGCGCGTGGGTTTAAAAGGCGTTGGGAGGCGGCCGCTCCCAACGCCGACTTTGTATGCCTTTGCATTAAGTGTTTTCTTCATCGCTGACGGTGCTGGCGACCGTTTGGAATAAACCGCTTACAGCAACTAAGACTTGGCAGCGTATGTTTTTCCGACGTCTCCTAGTCACGCAGTAGGAAGCTAGACACAAGCCTCTTGAAACTTTTCTCAAAATAATCCACTTTAAGTAACAGGCAACAAAGTTTCTCTTTCAAGTAACAAGCAGTCTGGAGTTTACACTTTCACTTTTCAGCTGGCAGCCATCTTTTCCATCTCCGTTTGTCTTTTATCTTTACTTTTAAAAGCATATTTATTTCCTCTTCTCCTTCCTCTCTCTCAAACATAATCCAATCTCGTTTAGCCATAAAAAATAAAAAAAGAAGACCAAATCTGTAATAAAATCATTTCCAAAAAGTCTTTAATTAACGCTATCTATCAACAGGTCTTTTCTCCACCATTCATTTGAGTCTTTTTGCCCCGATGTTTCTCAGCCGCTGTTAAGGCTGGGGCACACTTTTTGTAAATCCAGCATTTACAGGCAGTTCCCGCCTGGGCAGAAGTTGACTCACCCGGCTTTCAAACTCCCTGCTCTGCTCTCCGCTTCTCGCTTCTCCTCCTCTCCTCCAGCACAATCTTTGTTCCTGGTTGCTGCGGTTTCGGGACAGCCGCCATGGCTGTCGTTCCACTGCCGCCGGCGTGAAGGGAAAGCCTCCGGCCCCGAGGAACCTGCCCGTTCCTCTCGGCCACCCAAGGGGTCCCTTCTTGTCCCCCTGTCCCTTCAAGACAGGGGAGGTCCGAAGACCTGTCGGCGGCAGCTTGGCAGACGGGGTTTTGGCAGAGCTCCGCGGAGCTTGCCATTTCCCCATCTGTATCCCTGTGGCGCCAACCGGAAGTCCTTTCCCTCACCACTTCTGAGACAGATGGTCTAATAATTCAACAAGTTTTCTGAAATCATGGTTTGTCCAATCACTTCTGACAGAGGCACTCTATTTCACAGTACTTTTTGAGAAAATTGTCCGTCAATTATTAAGTTGAAGCTCTGTTCTGTACTATCTGCAGCTGGATTAAGAAATAGAGAACACATGTGTACTATTTTAGATTAATACCTTGGTTGTGATGTTAACTATCACCAAACAACTGGCCTGATATTCTATCTATAGCTGAGTTCAGTTATAACAGTTCATACCTCTGTTCAGATATGACTGCTAAAACAACCTACAGTTACCATTTGAACCTGCTGCCAAACCCCTACTGGTCTTCTGTTCTAGAGGCTTTCTTTTTTCTTCAAGAGCTAAAAGTTGCTTGATACTTCATTTTCCTTTTTACTTCATATTATGAAGACTTTATTAACTATTTTCTCTTGAACAATTTGGAATAAAATGTGTACTCTTTGATTTTCAATAATTACTATTTGTACTTTCAAAAAAGTTTTTTTTAAAAAAAACAACAACATTCTGCTTCCCCTCAAGGATTAATTAGATGATGCCAATTTATAGAACCATACTATTGTATTTTCCCTCTGCCCTTAACTATTAGAGATCACATTTCCTATTTAATATCTACATAAAGCCCTGAAGAATGCTATCCTGAGAATCACACAGGATAAGGCATCATCAGAATTCTGATGATATTACCTATTTCAATTCTTGGTAACCTAACTAGTATAATCATGGTTAGCTCTTCCACCTCTCTGCTATGGATGGGGATGCACTACCCCTGATAGAACTGGTGTGTAATTTGGGGGGCCTCCTGGAGTTGAAGTCTTGCTTGAAGAGCAGGTGGCAACCATGGCTAGGAGGACCTTTGTACAAATTCATTTGCATCAGGCAGACCTTCTATATAGGCACTTATTCCTTAGCGAGCCCTCATCTGAATTATTTTGTACATGGAAATCATTCAAAAACTACAGCTGGTCCAGAATGCAGTAGTGTGCATAATTATGGGTGCACCTTGGTACACCCGTGTAGTATCAGCGCTACTATGTGAGCTGCA